AATAACATTTGAAAACAAGAAAGAAAAGCTAGAAATTATGTGCAATCCCACCAGTGAGATTTACCTTTCAGTGACATTTTTGTTCTATTTCACCCCAGTCATTTTCTGTGTGTGTAGTTACATGTGTTTCATGAAATTAAGTTCATACTATACGATGTCTTTATAATTTCTTTTTATTCAGTGAAATATTATAGTCATTTTCCCATCTTCATTAAACAGCCTAAAATTATTTTAATGCCACCATAGTATTTCATCTTATGAATCATAATTTAGTTAACTCTATTGTTGCATTTTCTGTCTGTTTTTTTTTTTTTTGCTACTATAAATAGTGCTGCAGCCCTTGAATTTGAAAAGCTACTTCTATTTTTTGGCAGTGGACAAAAAATAATCCTTGTTTGATAAATCAGCTAGTGCTAAATGAGGAACAATAAGATGTTTAGAAGAATGGACAAAATGGTGATGGAATGAATTTCCTAAATGTCATTACTTTTCTTATCAATATTTTATTTTACCTTGTTTGTTAAGTACATAATGAAAATGGGCCATAAAAACAAATTTTAGTCAGCAGTCTCTTACACAGATCTTTGATGTTTACGTAGATCTCTGAGTATTTCCTGAAGAGAGAGCCCTAGAAGTCGAATCAGTACCAGTCAGCACCCTTTCAGCTGGAAGGGACAGGAACCCGGTTCAAACTCATCTGAAAGACGGCAGAGGACCTCTGAGTGGGGGGTGTGGTGGGCGGGCCGCCTGGTTGGTTGCAGGGCTGCGGTGGAAGCTGCAGGGATTCCGGTTTTCTGTCTGTTTCCATCTCAAGGGCTGTTCCCTTCTCGTCATGGGCTTCTCTCTTTGGCAGGTGGGCTTTCTTGCTGTGGTGGAGTAGACAGTTCAGTGTGAGCTCTTCTGGCCTGAAGTCACATCTGAGCAGTCTAGGGGCTGATGATGGTCCACTCTCCCTGGGGCTGGCGGCCCCTGTGGACGCCGTGCATGGGAGTGACCCCCCAGGCGAGCTCTGCCTAGTCCTCATGGTCTGAAAACCGAGATGGGTTTTGAAAAGAAAACCTGAGTCTGCCACCCAAAGGAGGGTCACTGGGCTAGCAGGAATGACAGCTGTCATTCTGAGGGTGCAATGCATGTTACCGGACTGGCGTCCAGGCTGGCCGTTTACCGCCCCACCCCCAGCATGTGGGATGTTGGGGGAGGGGCTGCATGGGAAAGGCTGGCGTTGGTGCAGGACCTGGACCCAGGAGCTCCCGTCCCCCCGGCACACAGATGAGCAGCACGAACTTTTCAGTGACGGCTTCCTCAAATGGAGACAAAGCAACCTGAAAACCACACACGCTGAGGGAGGCAGACACTAAAAATAGTCTCCACGAGGTACATGAGAGGCAGCTGCTCTGCGCTGAAACCTGTCTCCCGCGGTCCACCCAGGGTGGCCAGAGGCCCTTCAGGACTTGCTGTCTGGAGCGGCTTCTGCCCTGGAACACACACTCAGGCCACCCAGGAATCTCATCAGAGTGCAGGTCCCAGCTCCGCAGGTCTGCAGTGGGTCCGACATTCTGCCTTCGAAGCAGACTTCCAGGGGCTGCTGCTGCCTGCTGGTCCAGAGACTTGTCTTTCCAGTAGTACTATGTTAATTAGGCCAGTGGTTCCCAATATTTAACAAAATGGAACAAAACATCTCAGGACCCCACCTGTCTAGGTAATAATTGTCCTTTTAGTACCCGTTAATTGAGAAGACACAGAAAATCGCTGTGCATTAAGAAAAGTGGTCACCTGAGCTCGTATTTTTGGACTCACAGTAACATCTGCCTATGTCTTCTTCAGCTGAACAGCAAAGGGCTGCGTGGCAAAACCAACTGTGGTTACAGTTGAGGCTGCTGGTTTCTGCCCTTTACTTAAAGGCACACCAATTTCAGCATCTTCGCCGAAGCTACTTCTAGTGACCAAGCCACAGGCACAGTTCTACTAACTACAGTATCAAGGTGTTTTTTGCTGGTCACTGTTCAGTGTCTGCTGTGCCACAGTGTTTGACCACCTCATGTAAGTGCCTGAGAAGACAGTCCCCAAATCTCTGTGTGGCAGGTTGTGTGGTCGTGACTGGTGAAGAACCAGCAGTGAAGCTGCTCAGCTGCCTTTGTTCTGTACTCTCAGCCTCCAAGCTGCGATCACTTCCCAAAAGGGTATTGAACCCGCCACCTAGGCAGGAGCCCTGACCAGGAATCGAACCCCCAGACTTTCTGTGTCGGGGAGGATGCTCCAACCAACCAAGCCACACCAGCAAGAGGTACTTTTAAAATTTAATAAATAGTTGAAAGCCACGAAAAGATATAATAGTCTTCATAAATTATTTAGAAAAAATTTCCTTTAATATATGTAGTATTTTCTATTTATTTTCCTTCTTTAAAGATTTTAAAGTAATACTTTTATATGTAAAACAAATGGCCCAAGCTGTTCATTATTGCAGCATCTTGATTTTGCAGTAAAACTCATGCTTATGCATCTGAACATGTAAAGGAGACGTCCCTGCGCTGACTAGTGTGGAAGGTTCACAACTGGCCGTGCAGCACTAGCAGCGGCTCCCAGGGCCTTTGCTGTCTGCCACCGCCCCGCACAAGCTCAGGGACACCCGCGTTGCCATGGAAGGTGGTGGTTGGTTGCTTTGCCTTTCTGAGGCCGCGTGGAAGCCACGGAGCAGACCTTGGCCGAATGACCATGTTCAAAACCACGCTTGGGGGCTTTCCTACTTCGTCTGAATAAGTTTCTGTTCAGCGTTTCAGACGCATTCATTGGGTTGCAGTGCCACGTGCTGGATGTGTGTGTGACTGTGTCCCACTAGGGGGCAGTGCCTCCCCACTCACTGCGGCCTGGATCTTGCCGGTCTCTCTGTGGCAGCTCAGGAGGAGCAGGTGCCTTTAGGGGCCCCTCCCCACAGTCGGTTCACTTGGAGTGCTGGGAACACCCACACAGGGATTTGTGGTTCAGATTTGTCTTCAACGTGTTAATCTGCCTTAACCTCCTGAGCCCTGAGTGTGTCTGAATGAAAAGGACTATTGAGATGGGAGAATGAAGCCCAAGGGAGAGGAAAGAGCTGAAGCCCCTCTCCCTGCGCCTGCCCCCAGCTGTTCAGGTTCCTTCCTGCAGGGGCCTAACGCCCGAGTTTACAGGCCTCCGCCAGGGCAGTGAGGAAGCTCTTAGGTGTGCCCAAATGGAGCCTGTGTCTTTGTGGTTGGCACACAGTAGGTGGTTTGACCTGCTGACCCCCAGGTCCCACAGAAAGTAAGTCTAGTTGCGGCTCCTCCACGTGACAGCCATTTAGTTATTTGGAAGTTGTCTTGTTCCCTCCATGACCTCATCCACTCCCTCCCTCCCTCACTCGCTGGGCCCTGCGCCTGGTGCAGCAGAAGCTGCTGAGAATACACGGGGCTCACAGGTGGATGTCCGGTTCAACACTAAGACTCTGTCTGAGATGTGTGTCCAGGAGGTTTATTGGGGTGAGCAAAGCAGGGGTGGGAGGAGAGACGGGGGGCAGGGGGTCCTGCTAAATGGTCTCCACAGAGGCCTCTGCAGAACTGAAGGGGCGGTCTGGGGCAGGATGACCCTCAAGGCTGTTTTGCCTGCACACAAGGTGCCCAAGCCTTTATACCTTCTCCTCCACTGGCCCCAGAATGGGGACTGGGCTGGTTCCTTCCCTGGGGCAGGTTCCCTGGAGGACTCAGTTGGCAGCTGCCCTGCTGGGGTCTGAGTGGCATGCTCACCCACCCCAAGTGCAGAGACAGCTCTTCCCCTCGTGATGAGAATACAGTGAGCCAAGCAGTTCAGTAGCTCTGTGTACAACGTGCCTGGGAACCTGGACAGCACCCGGGCCTGTCGGGACAGGGTTTTCAGCGTTCACCTAAATCTGAAGGCCCCCATGAGAAGCAGTGAGCCTTGGAGATCAAAGAGCAGCTCTCCAGGAAGCTCCGATTCGGGGAAAGCCAGTCACTGCCCTGATGGGGACACAGAGGCCAGGGGTGTGTCTTTGCTTTCCTGTTGTCTTTGCAAACAGTCCTTTGAGGTGCCCTGTTGCTGTAGGCCCAGGCCAAAGGTTATCCCCCCCCCCCCTTTAACGTCCAAAGGCTTGAATCCTCAGGCCTGTGAGGCATTTCCCCTGGGGCAGCAGCTCCTACTCCATTTCAGAGTGTTCTCTTTTGCAGGGGAAGTCAAGGGTATGGAGGATAGTGAGTGCTGCTGAGCGGCCTTAGCCTGGCTGGCCCCGTGGGCCTTTGGGCTGGGGAAGGAAGAGCGAGGGGCCGCCAAGCTTCTTGGTCTGCATCCCTTGGTGAATATCTGGTCTGCCAGAACGGAGAACCTGGGGTGGCGGGTGGAGAAAATGGGGAAGCCCACTCTGCCGAGTTAAGAATGGAGATGCGGGACTAGGAGAGTGGGTGTGGGGCCCAGTTCTCATCTAGCCCTGGACTGGCGGTTTCCAAGTAGTACGTGCGGCACAGTGCGGTGCTGCAGGAATTTTTACATCATGCGCTGCCTGACTGTGTAGTCAGGGGCACTGAACTCCTTCCCCTCAGATGGTCAAATAAATGACAACAGCTAGCACAAGAGTAGCTATCCAGTGTGAATGAATCAAAACTATACCTACATATTTTTTGTCAAATTGGCAAAAAGCGTAACATGTTTTTGGCGTGCTGCAAAGTTGCAGTAATCAGTTCACGTGAGCTGTGGATGGCCAAGGCTGGAACCACTGCCATGCAGCTGTGGGAGTGGGTCTCTGGTCTCCCTGCTCACTCGTCTCCCTCCCCCACACGGCCCCTCACTTGTCCTGAAGGCTTCTGCTGTGTTTTCACAGACGTCCCACTCAGGAGGGCTCTTCCCAGAAGTGAGGTCATGCCTTGCTGAAGACCAGCCAGCCAGAGGCCTGGGGACTTCAGAGTGGTCACTAATGGGCAAGGTGTTTGGTTCCTGAGGACATCTGCGCATCAGTCCTGGCTGAGTCTCAGCAACCCTCGGTGGACCCTGTTGAGAACAAGCAAGAGAGCAGCAGCATGAAGAAGAAGAAGAGGGAGCCGCTACCCTCACACCTCGGGGCCTGGGACAGCCCTCACGGTCATTACCGCCCTCCCCTCCCCCTTTTGACTGTGCAGACCCATCTTGTTCACCCACCAGACCTTGGGCATAGGGCTTTGTGGTGACAGACCCCTGATCTCCTGTGCCTCCATTTCAGCTTCTGTAAATGGGAGTAAAAGGTCCCACTGCTGAGTGCATGCAGTTGCTGGGGGCGAGGGGGGAGGGCACGTGAGATGTGGGGAGGGGGACTCCTCAGACCGAGGCTGGGCAGAGAGCCCTCAGCATCAGCTCCCGCCTCCTGTGCCCCCTGTGTGTGGGTGAGTCCAGAGGCCAGCGCTTCTGCTGGTTCAGGAGTGCAACTCTGTGACCTGCCACCCCTGGATTTTTACATCCTCACTGCCCTGTCTCAGGAGTCCTGTGTTCCTCCCTCCCTCTTAAGTCACTCACCTATGGGGACTGTGGAGTCCCACGCTGGCTGGGGAAGGAGATGTGGGTTACAAGTGAGTCAGAGAAACGTTGCCTTTTGGTTTTCTGAGGTCCTGCTAGGTTCCTTGTGGTCTCCAACCCCTGCAGGTGAGTCTGGGTTATAGTGACTCCCCATAAGCTTTGTTTCGATTTCTCCAACCACGTGGGCAAGACTGGGCAGGGCCTTCCCACTGTGAAAGGACTTTTACCGCTGAGTCCCCAGGACACCTGTGTGACTTAGCTCTGGCAGGAAGTCATCATTCTCATGCACAGAGTTTCTGAATCGTTTCTCACGTCTTTGTTCTCCCAACAATGGCATGTGCACCTGTGCCGCCAAGCCACAGTGTCTCAGGACACCTGTTCCTAGTGCACCGCTGCGACTTCTACTGCTGAGTCACTGCTCAGAGCTCCTGCTGAATCTCCCCTCTACTGCTTTTTGCAAGCTCCCTAGGGAGTTCTGCCTCTCTCTGAGGGTGATTCACGGGGTCTCGTGCCCTGAAGGAGATCCCTGAGAGTCACGTGACTTCTGTCATGTCCCTTAGCCAGGCCTTGTCCTCAGTGCCTTTCCTCTTCTCTCTCTAGGCCCAGTCGGTTTGCACAACCTGGGGCAGACCTGTTGCCTTAACTCCCTGATCCAGGTATTGATTAGGAACGTGGGCTTTACCCAGATACTGAAGAGGTAAGACTATTATTCAGGCCATAAACATGTTTATTACGTGTATTTTTCAAATACTGTTATTTCCAGTGACTTGGACTTTTAAAAATAATGTCTTATTTTTCACTTATAGTTGACATTCAATATATATTAGTTTCAGGTGTTCAGCACAGCGATTAGTCACTTGAGTAAGTGACAAAGTGATCACCCTGAGAAGTCCAGCATCGACGTGGCACCACCACAGTTATGACAGTGTTAGTGACTGCGCTCCTTGTGCTGCGCACGTCCCTGTGGCTCTTCTGTAACTACCAGTGTGCACTAGTTTTAAAAAGATTTGTTTTCTTGAAAGAGGGAAAGGGAGCGAGAAAGAGGGAGAGAAACATCAGTGTGTGGTTCCCTCTCACACACCCCCTACTGGGGACCTGGTCCACAACTCAGGCCTGTGCCCTGACTGGGAATCGAACGGGTGACCCTTTGGTTCATAGGCAGACACTCAAGCCACTGAGCCACACCAGCCAGGGCCCAATGTGTCCTTTTTAATCCCTTACCTTTTTCACCTATTCCCCCACCTCCACTCCCATCTGGCAAGCATCAAAAGGTTCTTTGTATTTATGAGTATCTTGGCTTTTCTTTTATTTTGTGTTTTAGATTCCACATGTAAGTGAATTCATATGGTATTTGTCTTTCTCTGTGTGACTTATTTCACTTAGTGAACTACCCTCTAGGTCCATCCGTGTCGTCACAGATGGTAAGCTGTCATTCTTCTGTAATGGCCAAGCTATAGTCCATTGGGTACACGCGCCCCTGCTTTATCCACTCATCTGCCGGCGGCACTGGAGTTGCCTCCGTAGCTTGGCGATTGTAAATGGTGCTGTAATGAACATACGGATGCACGTGTCTTTCCGAATTAGTGCCTTGGGTTTCTTCCAGTAAATACCCAGAAGTGGAATTGCCGAGCCCTTCTTTGTCTCTTGTTATAGCCGTTCTTTGAAAGTCCATTTTGAGTAGTGTAAGTATGGCTACACCAGATAGTTTTGCTACTGTCGACGTGAGCTGTCTTTCCATCCCTTTGCTTTCATCTGAGTGTGTCTTTCCATCTGAAGTGGGTATCTTGTAGGCAGCAAGCATAAGGGCCTTGTTTTCTTAGCCATTCAGATACCCTGTGTCTTTTGATTGGAGCATTTCACTCATCTACATTTGAAGCAGTTGTTAATAGGTAGTTATTGCCACTTTATTATCATATTTTTTATTTTATTTTTTTCCTTCTTCTTGATGAAGTTCTTTTAACATTACCAGTTTGGTGTTGATGAACTCCTTTAGCTTTTTATCTGGGAAGCTCTTTACCCATCTTTTGATTCTAAATGATAGCTTTACTGGTAGAATAATCTTGTTTGTAGGTCCCTGCTTTTCATCACTTTCAATATTTTGTTGCAAAGTTTCTGTTGAGAAATCAGGTGACAGTCTTATGGGAGCTCCCTTGTAGGTAACTAACTGCTTTACTCTTGGTGCTTTTTAGATTCTCTCCTTATCTTCAACCTTTGGCATTTTAATTTGGGTTCATCTTGTGTGGGGTTGTCTGTGCTTCCTGGACTTGTATGTCTATTTCCTTTACCAGTTTAGGGGAATTTTCTTTTTTTTTTACTTGTTATTTAAGTATAGTTGTCTCCATTTCCCAGGTGGAGTTTTCTATCACTCTCTCTCCAAATACGCTTTCAGTTCCTTTCTCCCTGTCTCCTCCTCCTGTCAGTGTGATGTGAGTGTTGTTGTGCTGCTCTGTCCCCGAGGTCCTTCAGTGTATCCTCATTAAAAATTTTTTTTCTGTTCTGATTGTTTTCAAAATTGTCATCTTCAAAGTTACTGATTCTGTCCACTGCTTCTGTTGATTCCCTCTGATGTAAACTCTATTCAGTTAGTGTATTTCTGATCTGACTGCTTTTTAAACTGTTTTCTATGTCCACTTTCACGTGTCCTGTCCTTTGTTGAAGTTCTCGCTGAGATCACTGAGCATCCTTCTAACTCATGGTTTGACCTCTGCATCAGGTAGATGGCTTGTCTCCATTCTATTTAGTTCTTTTTTTTTTTAAGTTTTGTTCTTTTCTTTCATCTGGGACCTGTGTCCTTATCTCTCCACTTTGGCCACCTGTCTGTGTGTGTTTCTGTATATCAGGTAAAGCTGCTGTGTCTCTGGATCTGGGCTGAGTGGCTATGTGTGGTAGGTGTCCTGTGGGGCCCAGTGACACCCCTCCCTGATCACCTGAGGCAGTGTGTTTGCTGTGCTGCTGGTGCAGGTTCTGTGTGCCTTCCTGTTGTGGTTGCGCCTTGACTGCTGTGGGCATGCCACTGTGAGGCAGTGGCCCTCTGGCTGATTGGTTGTGGGGACTGGCTGTGACTACAGTGCAGGGGCTGACCCTGCAAAGCAGGATGCACTTGGCCTGCCCTTTGGTTGTGACATTTCGGGGGTGGCTGGGCAGTGCTCTCGTGTGGTCCGAATCTGGCCACCGAGTGTATTGGTTCTGGGGCCTCTTTAGAGATGCAGGCCCAGGTCCGCTGCTGTCTCTGGCCTGCCTGGGGCTCCCTGGAATGAGGTACAAAGTGATCTGCATGTGGTTGCCCCTTGTGCTCAGCTTGGAGGGGCCTGAGAGCCGCTGAGCTGTGAACAGAGGCCAGTTGTTGTCAGTGTCGGGCCTGGGGCTGCTTAGCACACCGAGGCCAGATGCTGCTTGTTTGGGGTTTGTGAACCTTTGAGAGACTTTAGGGAAGTCTGCAGCATGAGCCAAGACAGTCTGTTTATGTGGAAAAGCCACTAGAAACAGCTTGGGTGATTCTGCAGGTTCACTGGGGCAGGTCTCAGGGTATCAGCAGGGCAGGACAAACTGTGAGCAGGTCGATGGTGACTCAGATGTGGGGCCTGTCTGCCCGCTTTGTGGTGGGAAGGGGGAATCATCAATGGAACAGTGGCCTCGGCCAGCACATGTGTCTGGGGAAAGCTGTCCCCCAGCCTCAGCGCATAGCCAGACACCTCAGTTCCTCCCCGTGTGTCTCCCTGGTGCCTTGGGAGATGCTGCCTCATGGCTGGAGGGCAGAGAGAGGGAGTCTGTCAGTGGGTGAATTTGTGAACTCCTGGGACTCCAGAAGCCCTCTGTCTCCATCAGCCACAGTCCCCGCTGGATTTCACAGCCAGAAGTTAGGGGGACTCCTCTTCTTGCCACTGGAACCCTGGGCTGGTTGTGGGGCCCAGTGTGAGGCTGGGATCCCTCACTCCTCAGGGGACCTGTGCAGCCGAGATGTCCCTCCTGATTTTTAACCACCGCACGTGGCTGTGGGACCCGCCCGTTCTGTACGTCTGTCCCTCCTGCATGGATGCATCTGTACATCCCTAGTTGTTGGCCGTCCATTCATCTGGATCTCAGGCGGTGCTGGATCTCGGCTGCTCTGGCGTTTAGCTGCACGAGAATGTTGATGGGGCTGTGGGAGGAGGCGAGTGCAGCCTTTGCCTACTTCTTCCTCTTGCCCAGAAGCCCACAGCGACTCCGACTATAGTTTTCTCTCAAAAGTCACCAGAGGAAAGTCTTGATCTGCACATTCTGGACCACACAGTTGCCTAATAGGTTAAAAAATATATAAATGCCACCCTGACTGGGGTGGCTCATTGGTATGGGCACTGTCCCGGAGACCAGAATGTTGCTGGTTGGAGTCCCTGTTGGGGCACACACCTGGGTTGCAGGCCAGGCCCCTGTGGGGGACGTGCAGGGGGCAACCGATAGATGTTTCTCTAGCTCATCAATGTTCCTCTCCCTCTTTTTCCCCCTGCCTTCTCCCCTCTCTAAAACAACAATAAATAAAATATTTTAAATAATTTGGAACACTGAAAAATTCTGACAACTGGCTTCCACCCCCAGAAGTTCTGATTCAGTCAGTTCACAGAGTGGCCTGGGCGTGAAGACTTTTGGAAGTAAGCCCCCTCGAGTGTGTGCAGTGTGCCCCCGACCCAGAGAACGGGGGGCTCACGGCTGTTGCTACCCGACAGGTTAAAAGTGCCAGTGGGAGTGGAGGAGCAGAGGAGGAACGTGCCCTTCCAGCTGCTCTTGCTGCTGGAGAAGATGCAGGACGGCCGGCAGAAGGCCGTGCGGCCCTTGGAGCTGGTGCACTGCCTGCAGAAGCACAACGTGCCGGGTGAGGCAGCCCCAGCGCCAGCTCCTGGCCCGGGGCTCTGGTGGGGGGGAGCGGGAGGCCGAGAGGGGGAGGAAGGAGAGGAAGGAAAGCAGAGGGACTAAGCGTGACCTTTGGCAGACGGCGGAGCCCTTGTGTTGGAGGCAGGGGTGTCGATCCAAAATGCTTTGAAGAGCCCATGGTTCTGCGGGCACAGGATGGGTGTTATTGACACACAGCAGCAAAACCCTGAGAACGTTTCCTTTGTGCTTAGTGTCACAGAGGAAGTAGAGTGGGGCCGAGGCAGCAGACGTGACTGTTTGGTACACTCACAACAGTGACCCTTCTTGCAGCGTCTTTGTGTTTTGCCCTTTGGTGAGAGAGCCCTTGGCGTGTTTCCATTTCCTCTGTCCTCCTAGGTCTCTCTGCACTTAGGCTTTGAGCGTTACATCCACTTCCGTCACACATGCGGAATTCACTGCTTCTCCCTTGCCTCCCCTACCTCTGCGGTGGTCCTTTCCGTTCTTGTTCTTCTGGACACTGTTGGGGAGGACCTGGTTCAGATACGACTATTGAGAAAAGGCTCGATTTTTAGGGAAGTGAATGAGGAAAATACATAAAGGCACAGAGCGTGAGTGGCCATAGGAATCCAAGTCAAGTGTTGGCCCTGCCCGGGAAAAGTTGGATGTTAAGTTTTAAAGGAGCTCTCAACAACCAGCACCGAGCCCGTTCTCCGTTGGTGGCACCTGACATCCGTGGAGACGGGGCCTGAAAACAGGGCCAAGGCAGGAAGACGCAGGGTGGCGCGTGCTCACGGCATCCAGGCCCCAGGGTCTGAGCGGTGTCCTCGGGGACTTGCTAATCGGGCTGTGCCTTTTCTCTCTGGCCAGTGTCTGTCCAGCATGATGCCGCTCAACTTTACCTCACAGTGTGGAACCTCATTAAGGACCAGATGACGGACGTGCACCTGGTGAGACTCTAGGGCTGAGCACAGGTTTAAGACGCCGCCATTCAGCTCACTCAGCAGTGGTCAACGAGATGTGTAGAGAGGATGGAGAGAGAATCATGTAAAATGCAGGTCACAGCTCCATGAGATTGTCAGTGTCACTGTCTGCACCTTTCTGAGGAGGGCAGGGAGCACTAGTAGCTGCCACTTCGTGGGCTTCGGTGGGCTGGCTCCAGCTCTGCCAATGGTCCCGGCCTGGCCTGCTGACGGCTGTGAGCCCTTTCTCCCCCACCCCCTTCCTCCCGTGCAGGCTGAGCGGCTGCAGGCCCTGCACACGATCCAGACGAGGGAGACCTTCGTGTGCCTGGACTGTGCTGGGCAGAGCAGCACGGACAGCAGCCTGCTGACCCTCCCGCTTTCTCTCTTCGACGCGGACTCACGCCTCCTGGGGACACTGGTAAGGGGGTTTCTCCTGGTGAGTTTCCTGTTCACTCACAGCCCAGAGCCCCCCTGGAAGTGTATTGCGGTCCTAGGGGGACTTTGGTTCGCCAGACCACTCAGGTTTCGAGTGCACAAGTCAGTGACACGTCTGCACACACATTTCGTGTGCCCACCACCCCAGCAGTCTCTTTCTGTTTCATTTATCCCCCTTCCCCCCCTTCGCCCCCCACCCCTTTCTGTCTGACTGTCTCTATGCTGTTTCTCTGTCTGTTCGTTATAAAATGTCTTTTTGTTGAACCCTTTCCTTCACCTTCTTGCTTCCTTAGTTCAGTAATCGGGCTTGTACAGTTCACGCTTGGCATTTAAAAATCGTTTCTGTCTTCTTTGTGTGGCTCTGGCTAAGTTGTCCTTTGATTTGGCAAAAAAATTTCTTCCCTCCTGTTTATGCTTTCAGGTGCCCTGTCCTGTTTTCCCCTCTGATCAGCAGGCACCATGGAGAAGCATCCCACCGTGGACCCCAGTGTGGACCTGACATTTGGGGGCGTGGGGACACCAGAAGGGAAGCTGACTTCCCACTGCAGGGCCAGGCTGTGCTCTGGACGGGGAACACCGACCCTGCCTGTTTTCTCGTTCCGTGGACAGGAGGAGGCCCTTCACTGCTTCTTCCAGCCCAGGCCGCTGTCCAGAGAGAGCAGGTGCTTCTGCAAGCACTGTGGGAGGAGGACCAGCGGCCAACAGGTATTCCCTCCAGAGATTAGCACCTCCCGGAAGGGGCTGCCCCTGAGAGACCCTTCATAGAGCCCCTGGCAGCCCAGGGTCCTGGGGCTCCTCCGCCGACATCATGGGGAGAGACCGCTTCTGAAGGAGAAGGGTGGGCCTGAGAGCTGGGGACGAATTTTCCCTCCAGGCTGGAGGAGTTCCACCAGCGACTCCACTGTGGCCCTGGGTTCTGTGCAGCTGCCCAGCCGAACTCGGGCAGCTCAGGCCTTGGTCTCCGCTGGGGCCCCGCTCTGCATCGCGTTCTCCTGCGTCCCTCCTCCCGTGTCAGCTGTGCTGTCCCCCCGTTTCCAGTGCCCGAGGGCTTCATCTCCGCAGTGGTTTTGCTTCCGTAGGTCTTGAAGCTGACACGTCTGCCCCAGACCTTGACAATCCACCTCATGCGGTTCTCCGTCAGGAATTCACGGACAGAAAAACTCTGCAGTTCCCTGCATTTCCCCCAGAGACTGGACCTGGGTCAGGTCCTTCTGACGGAGGACACTTCCCCCTGCGACGGCGAGGGCCAGGTGAGGCACTCCCCACTCCCGTCCCGTGTCCACATCGTCAGGACGCGCCGCAGTGCTGTGGTGTGGAACCTCCGTGGCTTCTGGGTGCATGTTCAGGTGGCCCCCTTCCCAGGGCTTGTCCACCGATCTTGTTCGTTCTGCAGGTCCCTGCAAGCATCTCTCACGTCTGGGGGGGCTCTTCCCCAGCTCCTCGGCCTTTCCGCAGCTGGTGTGCCTTTTCCTTTATTGGGCAGCAGTGGTTTTTCCTGAATTTGCCTGTAATATCGCCTGGTATAAAACACGGCATTCTGATTCTGGCTTATTTAGCAGCAACATTCTTGAAGTCAGGGACTGTTCTGGAGGCCCCTTGAGGCCCCAGGCCGGCGTGGAGTAGATCCCAGACAAATGTGCAGGGAAACGTCTCCTCATTCTAAGGCAGGGCTGGGAAGTGGGCCCACGGGTGAGCCGCCTGTTCTGCGGTCCTTCCAGCTCGGAGGGCAGTTTGAGCTCTTTGCCGTGATCGCGCACGTGGGGCTGCCCAACTTCGGCCATTACTGCGCCTACATCCGGAGCTGCGAGGACGGACGGTGGTTCTGCTTCAACGACTCCAGTGTGTGTGAGGTGAGCGACTCTGCCCAGAACTGCCGTGGCCCCAGCTAGCGCTGTCCAGCATCTTCTGAGCCCAGGGCTGGGTGGGTCTTCGAAGTCACCCGAGGCCAGGTGTGGCCCTGGCCTCTGTGTGGGGCGGTGTATGGGCCTGGCCACTGTTTTCTGCATGAGGTCCCCATCTGGCTCAGCGCTGTCCCAGAGTCCACTTGGCTCCACGTCCAGGGCTTCGGTGTGCTAAGCTCAGTGCCCTGCATCCCCAAGCTGTGCAGGAAACTTAAGGAGAGCAAGGAGAGGTAGAAATGTGAAGTTAGAACCCCAGGCCGAGCATAACCACGTTTAAACAGAGAGGAGAAGGCATGAAGAGACACTTTGCTTCTGTGCCATTTATCAGCAGACACTGTGGGTCTCGAGAGTCCCCAGGAAAGTCTGTTGGGAGGAGTGAGGGAGGGTGGAAGGTAGCGCCCTGTGCTCTGCGGGTGCTTCACTCTGTGTCTGTGTGCGTCCAGGTGTCCTGGGAAGACATCCGGTGTACCTACGGCAACCGCAGCTACCGCTGGTAAGAGACGTGTTTGAGTGGGCGAAGCCCCATGAGCTTGTACCAGGCCCTCAACTGCTGTGGAAACGCTCATGGGCTCTGGTCTGCTTCATCTTTCATACCCATCCCACTGCACCATGATTTTCTCACAGTTTATTTTATCTATTGATTTTTCCCAAATGTTTGAGACCAGGCATCTCTGTCTTGCTATGGAATTGTGCTAGACAGAGGTAGTTATGCACCAATTGT